TACACAGAAACAGATATGTGATATGAGTCACTACAAAGTGCAACAAAAGTATGTTACAAACACCATTGTCAATTATTCACAGTTTTCACAGCAACTTAACAGCAATGTAAATAAAAAGCTTGTAATGCAGTTAGAAAGTTAAATGCTAAACTACTAGCATTAAACACCTTTCAAACATACACAAAATATGTGGTCATTAAAGACAAATAAGTCTTTGTCCTACCAGTTGCATCTCAAAGTTGATGAAAACATTGTGGCTTTTCCCAACAGTCTTTCTCCTTTGGTTTTTTTAAACACCAAAAACCACCAACTTTGGTAGGAGAAGCACATTTACTGCAAACAAAGATCTCTCTTGCTCCTAGTTATCACACACACACACACCTGGTGGAGTTTGGAGATGTGGAGATTCAATGACCAATCAGCTACCTTGATTCTCCCAGGTTGCACCATGTGCTCCCAACCAATAGGCTGCACTCATTTTGATCTTAAATCTTCTTTACCAATGATGAATTTATACTTTAACCATTTCTTTTTTTTTTCCTTTCTCTCAAATTCAACTTAACAAACAGTTCAAGGTCCAAAAGACAGTTTCAGTGCAAACTGCAAACTGTTCAAAGGGCGTTAAACGACTTCAGACGATGAATAAGGGTCTTATCAATCGAATCGATTGCTCATTTAAAAAAATAAATAAATAAATAAATTTTAAGTTTAATAAGCTCAAATGGTCGTCTTGCTCTTTTCTGTGTGACTCACCTGTTCGAACTCGTTTATCAAAATGAACAAATCTTTTTTCATGTCATTTGGTTCATTCAAGGAACGAAATGAATGAGTTGACTCGGGAAAAGATTTGTTCATTTTGATAAACGAGTTCGAACAGGAGAGTCACGAACACACATCACAGAGCAGAGCAAGGCGACCATGTGAACTTATAAAACTTTTTTTTTAAATTTAAACATTTTTTTAATTTTTTTTTTTTTTTAATGAAATGAGCTATCGTTTCGCTTGATAAGACCCTTATTCATCGTCTGAAATCATTTAAAGCCTTTCCAATAGTTTGCAGTTGCACTGAAAGTGTCTTTTGGACCTTGAACCGTTTGGTTCCCAATGAAGTCCATTATATGGAAAAAAATCCTGGAATGTTTTCATCAAAAACCTTCATTTCTTTTCGACTGAAGAAAGAAAGACATTGATATCTTGGATGACATGGGGGTGAGTAAATTGTCAGCAAAAGTTTTTTAAAAAGTGAACTACTCCTTTAAATGCAGGTTTTCAGGAACTACTAAAGGAACTACTCCTTTAAATGCATCGTCTGTGTAAAGAGCACGACCATAAAACGTTCGTCCAATCCTTGCATTTGGCCCGATTTTACAACTGCCGGTCGACGTATATTTACATCACACGTCATCAACGGCCAAATGAATGTGCAGCAGTCAGTTGGTACAGGTCATTATTATTGTAATGTTATGTGCTTTGAGGCAGATAGTTTAACACCGTCTCTAATAATGCTTGTTTGCTCCCTGCTGTATGCGTTCATGTGTTTCGAAGGCGACGTGGTTTTGGAGACACTCTGAAGGGAGGGTGGGATCTCATGCTTTCAAAGCTAGCTCTCTATAGAGCATCACAGTCCCGTCCACAGCCCGAGAGAGCTTTGGTGCCGGAGAGAAAATCCCCAAAAAAGTCAAAGGTACGAGACTGTGTACATATTTTCATTTCCGAGTAAAGGAACTACTCCTCCCATAAACCACCGCGCCTCACTGAAATCGACTGAATCCACCGTGAAAGAGCCTTTTGAGTGACTTCCAAATCTGACGACGGCCACTTGAACTTTTTCCTCCGGTGAATTTTATATAATGAATGTGCAGGGAAACTCCTTTTCTTCGATTTACTGAAGCTTATATGTAAAACGCATTTGCAGGTGCACAGCTAAAACATTGAGCATCTGGCTCGCTCATAGGCTGTGCTGCGGCAATTGCACATCCAATGGCGCGGGGGCCTCTCTGACGTGCGACCAATGAACTAGCCCTACGTCATTACACGATCTTCAGTCTTCACGGACCTTTGCGGGGTTTAACCAGACGGTTACATGACCTTCACCAATCAGATGCATCACTGTGGGGTTGTTCAGGATTGTGGGTAATGAAGTACTATTCCAAGACATCGCGAATTAACGCATTTATCTTAAAAGGTTAGTGCCCCATGAACTTTTGGCGTTTATATGAGCATATACAATCGCTTAGAACAGCCGTAGCTGGTTTAAAGTCTACCATGTATGGTTACGTTTTAATGGCTTATACTCCTACTGTCAATGGAGAAATTGTATTGAATAGAGAGCCTAAGTCCCTCCCCTTCTGGTCGACCACCATGGGACCTTATTTCGGAAAAAATATTCAATGGCGAGAGACAACAAATATTTTGATCTCGTTTGAATTGTGCCCTGGATTACACATATGATGTTTGTCAATTTAAAAGATACATTTTAAAGTACAAAGAAAGTCGCAGTTTGATGTAAAACCGTTGAGGTATAATATACGTAATTACAAAGACTACAAACCCAAAGGTGCACATTTTCTCTCAATGAATGAAGCTTACTTTACTGAGGCTTTTGTCTGTCATTGTTTCTATAGACTTACGTTATAATCGTAACGTTACGCCGTCATGCCTGAGTGTTTTGTGCCAGACCGCACACACACGAGCAGCGGATCTTGCTCGTTGTTTCTCTTCCCGGGAGATGTAGTTCATCGAGCGATTTTCACATAAAACTAAATGTTAATCTTCAGTTTTATGACAAACTGCGACGTTTTTGACTTTCAGAATAATCTTTTAAATTGACAAACATCATATCTGTGATTGAGGGCACAGTTCAGACGGAATAAAAGGATAAGTTGTCTCTCGCCATTGACTACCATTCATATTTTTTCCGAAATAAGGTCCCATGAGCCGGAAGCGGAGGGGCGGGACTTAGGCTCTCTATTCTTACTTCCGACTGTGATGCTCTATTGCTAGCCTTCCTGAAAATTAACTACCCTAGCTTTAAAATTCCATGATACTATTGTGTAAATAAATTGAAACCACGCCGCCTTCGAAACACATGAACGCATACAGGAGGGAGCAAACAAAACCGTCATGAGACTGTGTTAAACTACCTCATGTCTCAATAATGTCTCATGTCTGCGCCTTACGCAGACAATATAATATATACATAGAAAATATATGCATACACAACTATAGTATACATGGCATGTTAATAATATAATATCTTTATGAATATACAGCATTTAAAAAATGCTGATATATCAGATATAGTGCAGAACTACAGTATTGTGATAATACAATATCTAAATCATTTGTCAGAGGCAGTTTTATTTCAGTATAATTAAGATACCATTATAGTTTTTTTTCATTAATAGTTTGAATAAGAATTTATTAATGATATATTTATCTTTTTTTATTTGAAAAGTTGGTAAAAATATGGTAATGTTGTTTTTGTCATTTTTAATAGTGTTAAATCAAGTCAAACTATAAGAAAATTAAAATGAAAGTTTTTTATATTATTATTTTCCATTTCAGTCACTAATTATTATTATTATTATTATTATTATGGTTTTAGTTTTATTTGTATAATAACCCTGGTCAGAGGATGCCTGAGCTAGTTTAAAAAAAAAAAAAAAAAACCTTGGTAACAAGATAAATAACACGTTTGAATCAGATGAGAACGAACCTCAAAAAGAAAAACTAGGCAATTCCGAAGACTAGACTTGAGACATTTCTCTAAATGAAATCCAGTTAAGAATCTTTCAAAGCATATGGTGAAGAAACCTTGTTTTGCAGCAAAACTACCCAAACATACAAAGAAGATCAATCTTCAGTAGTTCTGTGATTTATAACAGCCTGTTATTTTTCAGCATCTGTTGGGTACTATAAGTCTAGGCGATAATTATAAAATTAGATCTCCAACCGTTCCCTTTAATATAAATTCTGTCAAAAAAGATTATATTGGGTGAATATAAAACCCAGAGTACATATTAAAGACATCCTCAGATAAATTGTAAAACAAAAGCAACATAAGATCAAGCATAAGTAGCTTTGCCCTCAGGATTGTACCTGTCTGCACACATTGCTCCGTAAAAGTGGACTTAAAAGCTCTCGACTCTCAGTAGTGAGATGATAAAGTTTGCAAAGTCAGGTGTTAAGAGTTAAGGGTGCATGTTTCCCTCTACCCACAGGACCCTCAATACCCTCCAATTAATCACCCCACCAAACCCTGTCCACACCACTAATTGCCTCCCTCCACGTCCCTGCAGGACGAGGGCGAAGCAATTTAATGCAGCTCACAGCAATCAATAGCAATTAGGAGCATCCCTGACTAATCCCATTGAAAGCTGCGTCTTGGGAGATGGCCAAAGAGGACCAGAAATCTTTCATTTTTAACCCTTGCAGAAACAAGAAGCAAAGAAAACAAAAACTTGCTTGCTCGAAAGCCCCAAAGGTTTGAGAATTAATTGCTCTTTTTCTCTTCATTCATCTCTAAGGCCACCTCATCATCTGTAGAGTCACAGAAAGCCAGAATCCCATTATCTGTCCTAGCTGGTCTATATGAATATCTTTTTTTAAAAACAAAAGCCATCTAAGCAATTAGCATTGCATTTTAAAGTCTGATGAAGATCTAAGTTTTGTCTGGGGGACTATAAAAACAAAATCCCATTAGATCTCTGAATGGTTGGCGAGTCTGCTCCAAATACATGTAGGTCGCATCCTAACAATGGCAAACATTTGAAATTTTTTCTAGCTTTCGGATGGCATAATTTGACAGAGGAAAAAAGAACAAGCACAATAGGCTCTAAAGAGCGTGCAAATACTTTCTCAAGAGATTTGCCACGTGACCTGAATCTTCCGGGGATAGTCGGGCCCTTTATTTTGCCTCGCATACAAAAGCTTGATGAAAACAGAGCAATTATGATGTCTCCATCTTCAGATACCGATAAAAAAATGAATTTCTTTTGTGCAGATAATAGGTTTTATTTGATGTCATGAAGTTGAAACACAGTTGTACAGCAAGGATATCTTGGTCTAGGGCTCCGGCACAGGCAGGAGCTGGAAGGCAGCTATGCACTCCAGAAGCCACGTGGATGGAGCCCACCACACCTTACCTACCCGGACCTTCTGGGGTTTGTAAGAGTTCTGAGGATCATATAAGATATACTGGGTGCAGAGAATCTGGTCTGAACCAGGCTCAGCGTGGTAGGCCGCTGCGCTCAGGGTTTGCGTGACATCACTGTCAGGCTTGGGCTGGCGATTCAGAAGCTGACCTCCTCCTGCTTTCGCTAACTGAAGGAGCTCGTGTTTAGGCGGTTTGAAGAAGGAGCCCAGCATGTAGAAGAAGCAGCCATCAAAGAGTGGAGGCAGCTAAAGATGTATGAGAAAGGGAGAACAATTTAGTACACAAAGCATCAATGAAATAGCCGAGTAATCATCATCCTAAAATGGCCTGCAGTGTAATTATTGGCATTTTGTTGAGCCTTTGCCATTTTGATAGTGGAAGTGACAGGAAATTATTGGGAAAAAAAGAGGGAGAAAGCTGACTGGGTCACAAAACGCGCCAGATTTGAACCCACAATTCCCACGAGCAACAAAGCTCAATGTCTCTGAAGTGTGTGAAGTGCCAAGTCATTTTTGCATTTTTAAAGGGTTAGTTCACCCCAAAAATGAAAATTAAGTCATTAATTACTCAACCCCATGCTGTACCAACCCCGTAAGACCTTCGTTCATCTTCGGAACACAAATAAAGATATTTTTGATTGAATCTGAGAGCTGGATCAGTCCTATATAGACTGCCTAAGGGGCTGGCTCTTGACGGCCCATAAAGTCATTAAAGAAAAGGTTTAAATATTCCATGTGCCTACAGCGGCTCAATTATAAGTTTATCAAGCGACGAGACTACTTTTTGTGCGAAAAAAACATAAATAACGACTTTATTCCACTATTCTAGTGGTGCACGATATATCGGCCGCCGATATAATATCGGCCGATTTGGTCAATTTTTTACACATCGGTATCGTTCCGATGTCAAAATAGGGCCGATGTGAACAGGCCGATGATCATTCCCTGTATTTGACGTGCGTGGGGGCGGGGATGTTTGTTTTTGCACGCGTATTAAAAGCGCAAGTGCGTTTAAACATCAAGCGCACGAAGACTGGAACTGGTGAGCTGTTTTCTGCCAGCCTTCCTAATGCGTATTTTTGTCCCGCCAAAGCCATATTTGACCGGTAAGTGATGTAGATGAGTGACTGGTGCGCTTGTTTAACTGAGGGAACGAGAGTCAATTAAAGCACCGGTCACGCGTGCCGCCTTCAAAATGTCTTTCGCTTGTTTAACTCAGGGAACAAGAGAGAGTGAAAGCACCGGTCACGCGCGCCGTCTTCAAAATGTCTTGCTCTCTCTCCCCCTCACGCATGTTTATGAATTGAGTTGACTGAATATCTTTGAGAATACACGATGGTAAAAGGTCGGAAGACCGAAGTTTTTTTCTTCTGAACTACTGGTTGTGAATTGTGAAACCACACTTTCAATAAACCAAAAAAAAAATCTATCGTGTTGAAATGTTTTCTGTGTCGACTGTCGAGACCATAGACTGTAAAAATAGGTCGAGACAAATCTCGTGCGATGTTCTAAACTGCCTGGATAATCACACAACGTGTGCCGTGGTTCCGTTAATGACACGTCCGATTCGCGAACTAATGACTCCTTTGAACCGATTCACTTTAATGAATGGTTAAAACAACTGATCTGTCCAACACTGAGCTCAAGATACATAAATCGGAAACACTTTACAATAAGGTTCCATTTATTACACTTTAATAAATGGAAGCTTCTTGTAAAGTGTAAGGTTAATAGATTAATAGAATGTTAACAAATTTTGTTAACATTCTATTAATATTAGTTTCTGTGGATATACTCCATGACAAAACTACCCCAGTCATTCTAGAATGATTCATTCTTTCCAAATAGAGCAATTCAAGTAATCTGGTGAAATTGTTTTTATATCACAATATATATCGCAGAAAAATAAAATATCACAATGTCATTTTTTACCAATATCGTGCAGCCCTAATCCTCGCTATGTGTTTTCTATACAGGGATATCGACATCGGTAAATATCGGTATCGGCCATAACAGCAATGTTAATATCGGTTATCGGTATCGGCCACAAATTTTCACATCGGTGCATCACTACACTATTCCATTACTTCCTTATGGGCGCATGCGCGAGAACTGAGACGAGGACGTTCTCATTCGTCTACTTCTTGTTACCGGCTCCTCACCGCTTAGGAGTTTTACCGCCCCCTACCGTATAAGATGATGTGCTGATATAGCTGGAAGCGCAAAACTTTCTGTTTACAAGCAGAGGAAGATGCGCGCTGTACATACGCTTTTCAATTTGCGTATTTTCCGCACTATAAGGTGCACTTAAAAGCCTTTAATCTTCTCAAAAAACGACAGTGTTCCTTATAATCCGGAGCGCCTTATATATGGATCATCATTTTATACGGTAGGTGGCGGTAATACTCCTGCGGTGAGCAGCCGGTAACAAGAAGTAGACGAATTATAACGTCCTCGTCTCAGTTCTCGCGCATGCACCCATAAGGAAGTAATGGAATAGTGGAATAAAGTCGTTATTTATGTTTTTTTCGCACAAAAAGTATTCTCGTCGCTTGATAAACTTATAATTGAGCCGCTGTATGCACATGGAATATTTAAACCTTTTCTTTAATGACCGTCAAGAGCCAGTCCCTTAGGCAGTGTCGGGATGTGGTTTCAACTACAGCCGCCTGATGTTAGAATGCCACACTGATTTGTTGTCAGAGGTCTAGTTGAATACCATTACCCTGAGTCGTTGCGTCAATTTATTTGCCGATAGGCCCGGGAAAGGATGGAATAACTGGAGTACCATGCAGGAAATCGTTGAAGGTGAATTTATTGAGGACAGCTGTCTCAGCACACGTGCTTCAAATCAAGTTCAAAAATAAACAAAAGAAATCATCAAAAAAATACTCAAAATAAACATTACAAAACATAAATAAAACATGCTGAAAGCAGCAAAAACATGGCATCAAATCCAGCCTCGAGGAACAAACCTCTGACAATCACGACACATCCTACAGCATTGGACTGTACTAGTACTGGCACATGGCCCGTCTCTCCCCACTCAATTAGCCTCACTCCTTTATATATGCTATTTTCCCGCCAAAACTAGTGGGTCATACCAACTGTAGGGGTCGAATAACTCCCCTGACAATGGAAACATTCAATATCAGTGTTCTTGCATATAAATCCAAACAGATACATAATCACAAATAATATCCTTAATCAAAAATAAACAATATGAAAACAATTATAACATTAAACAAAAAGACAATGTAAACTACAACACTGTGAACGGATGTTCACATGGTGATAACCTACAGGTTCATCATCACAGGCAGTCTATATAGGACTGATCCAGCTCTCAGATTCAATCAAAAATATCTTTATTTGTGTTCCGAAGATGAACGAAGGTCTTACGGGGTTGGAACAGCATGGGGTTGAGTAATTAATGACTTAGTTTTCATTTTTGGGTGAACTAACCCTTTAAAGGTGATGCATAAACACAGGTCATCGTTTTCCACCAATACATCCAAGACTGTTTCAGTTTTTTAAAACTTTTATAGAGAAATTTATAGCTGATTCAAATTTCAGGAAAGTTTATAAAAATATCCCTGATTATTCCATGACCACAGGAACCCTTAATATAGAGCACTTCACAAGTAAAGGTGTAACTAACTACCTGCCATAAATGGATAAAAGCAGGTGTAAAAGAAAGTGCTACATTATGGTTCAGTGAAAGTCTGAGCCACTTTCAGTGCCATTAATGAAAGTATCTGGCAGGTCATGTGGGGTTAAGTGACAGGCTTCTGCTCTGGTGTGGTCTGGACGGTTCTGGGACAATGCCAGCTCAGGGGAGCTATAAGATGCCTGTAAGATGTGGGTCACTGGCACACACTTGCTGAGAGGTCAACACGCTTGTATCAGGTCATTACAGTTGCACGATAACTGGGACACGCTTGCAATTTCACACAAAAAAACTGCACAATTCATCAAATGGAACAAATTCTTCTTTCCATTTGCTTTTCACAAGTACCAAGTACCTTTACACTTACCATGTGACAATTTCAGTGTCACATGGTCCTTCAGAAATCATTCTAAATTGCTAATTTGTCAGGTTTGTGGAAACCATGTGACACTGAAATTCAGCTTTACCATTTAATTGAAAAATTTCACAATATTACAGTTTTAACTGTATTTTTCAAACAGATTTCTTTAAAAACATTCATTAAACCCCAAACTTACACTCACCTAAAGGATTATTAGGAACACCACACTAATACTGTGTTTGACCCCCTTTCACCTTTAGAACTGCCTTAATTCTACGTGGCATTGACACAACAAAGTGCTGAAAGCATTCTTTAGAAACGTTGACCTATATTGAAAGGATAGCATCTTGCAGTTGATGGAGATTTGTGGGATGCACATCCAGCTCAGCTCCCCAGCTCTATTGGGTTGAGATCTGGTGACTGTGGGGGTCATTTTAGTACAGTGAACTTCTTGTTCAAGAAACTAATTTAAAATGATTCAAGCTTTGTGACATGGTGCATTATCCTGCTGGAAGAGGATGGGTACATGGTGGCCATAAAGGGATGGACATGGTCAGAAACAATGCTCAGGTAGGCCGTGGCATTTAAATGATGCCCAATTGGCACTAAGGGGCCTAAAGTGTGCCAAGAAAACCATTACACCACCACCACCAGCCTGCACAGTGGTAACAAGGCATGATGGATCCATGTTCTCATTCTGTTTACGGCAAATTCTGACTCTACCATCTGAATGTCTCAACAGAAATCGGGACTCATCAGACCAGGCAACATTTTTCCAGTCGTCAACTGTCCAATAGCCTCTTTTCCTATTTGTAGTGGAGATGAGTGGTACCCGGTGGGGTCTTCTGCTGTTGTAGCCCATCCTCCTCAAGGTTGTGCGTGTTGTGGCTTCACAAATGCTTTGCTGAATACCTCGGTTGTAACGAGTGGTTATTTCAGTCAAAGTTGCTCTTCTATCAGCTTGAATCAGTCGGCCCATTCTCCTCTGACCTCTAGCATCAACAAGGCATTTTCGCCCACAGGACTGCCACATACTGGATGTTTTTCCCTTTTCACGCCATTCTTTGTAAACCCTAGAAATGGTCATGCTTGAAAATCCCAGTAACTGAGCAGATTGTGAACTATTCAGACCGGCCCGTCTGCCACAAACAACCATGCCACTCTGAAAATTGCTTAAATCACCTTTCTTTCCCATTCTGACATTCAGTTTGGAGTTCAGGAGCTTGTCTTGACCAGGACCACACCCCTAAATGCATTGCAACTGCCATGTGATTGGTTGATTAGATAATTGCATTAATGAGAAACTGATATGCTTAATTTTTGAAAATATGCTTAATTTTACATAACCATCAAAATAATCAAGAATGTATTGTGAAAACATCACCTCGTCCTACAACGCATCCAAAACCCTGCGTTTTTTTATATTAAATGACTGCAAAGATGCTGCTATTAAACTGCGTCACGAGTCTTCTTAGCAATCGGAGCAGAACAGAAAGCTTGGCTTCTTTGCTGCATTGCATTTAAGCAGTACACCGTGGCCTAGGGAGATCACCAGTGCCCTATATTGTCTCACAATGCACAGACCTCAGAAAAAGTCACACAAGTATATAGCCTCCCTTTGAATTCCCTGACCTCGAGGAAGTGCATAGCTTTCTAAACAAGCCACAATCCATAGCACAGTCAGTAATAAAAGCCAAGCCAGCCTGAGGAGAACAGATCAACATGGCAGATTGACAATGAGAGACCATTAAAGAGCAGGACCAGGAGAGGGTTTCACTCAGCCATTATTCCTCCTCTCTGGAGAGGAAAATGTGTCGATAACTGTTAGACCCTTCGCATGTTGGCCTGTCACTCACCAGGCTGCCTCTGTTCGCACGGGCACGAAGGGGCCCGTCACCTGCCTCGTACTCGCTCTCCCCGACCCAGCTGCCTGCCTGAAGGCTACAACACACCCCTGGAAAAGAGATTGAGAGTGAGAGAACGAAACATTACATGCATAACCTAAACTTTACATAACTTAGCAGCTATAAATCCGCATTTTAAAGGGACAGTTGACCAGAAATTCCGTCATTATTTGCTCACCCTCATTTTAAACATGTATGCTATTTGTATTTGTTATTTTGAAATAAAAATTCTCACACAAAGATATTGTATGGCTACATAATACCTAAATATTATAGTGGCTAATACATTTTTTTATAGTTTTTTTACTGTGGCTAAAACATTTATCATTGTTATTTTACTGTGTTTTTGGTCTGTTTTGAAGACAGTCAAATGGAAAAAAAAGCAGCCCCCTTTTTTGTTTGACGGGGGAAGAAAAAAAGCACAAGGGCGAGAAAATAAAGGCAGATTTTACATTTTTTGGGTGAACATCGAAGTGTAAAAGTTTCAAGGCAAATATGTACAACAGCAGTGATGCAACATGCGCTTAAGTTCTGCAAGTCTTATGCTGTATTTTACAACTTTCACTTGGGAAAATTAACAGAGCAGGACAAGATTTTCAGGGCAGGAGACGCACACCCTAGAGTGGATGATCTCTCATTTTCTCTCTTCATTTCTGTCAGGTAAAATTCTTCACAAAACGTCTTCAGCACAAACAATATACTACAAGTGATCTCTCTGCTGCACAAGGCTGTCCAAAAAAAATAAAAAAATACAGCTCCTGCTTCACACACACACAAAAAAAAAAAACAGATTTTCCATCACAAGCCTTTTTCTCCTACTGAACTTGTTTACAACTATTTGATAGCTTTCTGCTCAGTTTGCCCTAGTTGTATGTCTGGCTGAAATGGCTCTTTCTTGACTGAAGAGCTCTAGAGTAACAGGCAGCGATTGGCTGTTGTTCCAATGAGAATGACAGAAAAAGGACAAGGGGAATAAATGAGCACCTTGTAGAGCATCTAAAAATATTTATGAAGCCATTTAAGAGAAGGGCAAAGATGCTAGCTCGATCAATCATTGGCTTCTCTAACTGAAAGGCTGTCTTATATTTCTTTATATTGAAACAGGGTTATAAGAGTTTGCCATTTGTCTTTATTTTAATAATGTTTATAGATATACGTTTGTGTTTGTTTGTTTGTGTATATATATTAGGTCTGTCAAACGATTAATCGCGATTAATCACATCCAAAATAAAAGTTTGTGTTTACATAATATATGTGAGTGCACTGTGTATAATTATTTTATATAGAATATTTTATATAAGAAATATTTTCATGTACACTGTAGATTTATATATACTTTATATTATAATTATAATTATATAAATATTTTATATATAAATAATATTTTTTTCTAAAATTATAAAATTTTTATATATATTAAAAATATACATGCATGTGTGTATTTATATATATATATATATAAATAAAAACACAAAATAATTATACACAGTGCACCCACACATATTATGTAAACACAAACTTTTATTTTGGATGTGATTAATCGTGATTCATCGTTTGACAGCCCTTTTATATATATATATATATATATATATATATATATATATGTGTGTGTGTGTGTGTGTGTGTCTATGTAAATTAAGATTTTATATATATATATATATATATATATATATATACACACACACACGCACACACACACATATATATATATATATATATATATATATAAAATAAATGGATTTTAAATTGGATTTTAAACAAATTCAATTAAAATGAATACATATTATGCACACAAACACTTAAAAGTTCAGTACGATCTTTGAAATACATTTATAAGCAACAGTAAAGACGTAATGTTACAAAATGATAATGTTTCTATTTCAAATAAATGCTGTTCTTTTGTACGTTCTATTCATCAAAGACAAAAACTATTAGTGGCCAAATCTTCACACCACAAACTTACAAACACATATTAACATCAAACACACACACTCTCCCCATCCTTCTCTCTGCTCTCGGGGGAAAAAGTTTCCATACTCGTGCTTTCTAATCACCCTAATTCCTGTCTGCTTGATCCTATCTCCACTCATCTCCTTCAAGAAATTTCTTCTTCTGTTGTACCTACACTTCACACTGGTACCTTTCCCACAGCATTTAAACAGGCTCAGATAACTCCACTGCTTAACCCCTAAACCGGCAACATGCATCACATGATAACATCCTCTTTAATCTCTTGTAGAATGCATGAGAAAGTATTTCTCATCCACTTCTGATACCATTATCATAGTTGAGTCTGTTTGTAGTATGTGGGTCACATAACTTTGTTCAAATTTTATGTGCTCATTTTTTCTGATCATCAATAGAAATCTTGTTCCAGGAACGGGGCCCTATAGGGAAGATCATTATAGGCTCCATGTACACAGTCCCCCTTCTTAATCTATGTATTCCGAGTTAAAAAAAATTGTGCAAATGTTAATATTCCCATATAACACTGACATTATAAAGCTCAGTTAACTCCATCTTTGCATTTTTACAGCAGTGTTTCACACAGTTATTTTTATTTTAGAACAGGGGTGATCAACCCTGCAAGACAGTGGACCTCAAGGGCTAGAGTTTCCCTTAGGTTGAAGACAAAACAATTCAGCTCAGTAAAAATACAAGAAATGTGTATGCATCAAGAAATATAATAAATGCAATATACTTACCATATAATTTTTTTTTTTGCAACAAATAAATCATAGAAATATTGATGACTGGCTTTTTTTATACCATATAGGGCAATGTATCCTAGGGGAGACATCTCATAAAATCCAAACTATATCAAATATTTAACAAAAAATTCCTTTGGATATATTTTACTAAATTTCAGATGATATAAAGTGAATGATGTACACTCACTCATTCTTCCATTTGAGACATTATTTTATGGTTGCACAAAAATCACAGTGCAATTTCATTTGAAATGGCGATTTAATAAAAATGCAACATTTTATGGTACTGCTACAAAGATTGAAGGGTAAAAAAAACAGAGTCGCCAATTTCAAGGGGCTACATGTAGAATTCAAAAACCCTTGTTATTAAACCCTTCGTAATAGCGACACCGGTGGCCATTAAATTAATTGCAGTGAATGTGATTCAACGCCTGATATAAAAAGGTGAAGTTCTTTTTTAAGCATTCGTTTCATAAGTCATAGAATGGAAGGTTGTGAACGCACGTATATGTCACATCCTTTGATTTTCCTTATGCTTTTTAGTCCTTTATATAAAAATAAGTCTACAGGCTTTCATAGACAACCTAGAAAGTAGGGCTGTCGCGGTTATGGAATTTCCCTTGCGGTAATGTTGAGTGGCTCAATAGCGCGATATGCGGTATTACCGCCATTTATTTATTTATTTAATTTATATGTATTTGTTGCTATATAAATAAAGTTTACGATGTGGACAAAAACGAGGACATTTTCAGTAACCAATGTAACCGAAACTAAACAGCGTCTACACAGTATATGCGCATTGAAAGACTTTCACTCAGCGCGCATATTGTTATGACAACGGACTTTGAGCGAGTCATTGAACCGTTCATTCAACGAACACGTTTAAAAAAGCTGATTCATTAAAAGAGATGTAAAGAAACAAGATGTTAATTATTTTTAACTTTGAGGTTCAACTTTTCAAAGCTCAGCTGAGCAGCAATGCGTCACATGGGCAACGCTGAAGCTGATGCTTCACTTATTAGAGACCAATATAGCATTGATTCAATGCGTGACTCACTGATTATATTTCCCCGTGGTTTCCTTGTGCTATGGGATGCTGACCAGCGCTGCTGCTGATGCGCATTTATGGAAAAATATCCGTGAAGAGAACGTTAATATGATGATGCGACAAATATTTCGCTTCCCTTTGACACGACAAGCTTTTCACGACTTCAAAGACAGACGCTGAATTGCACGCGCTCTGCCGATCATTCACTGTCTGTGTGAAGCCTGTAGGCTACACATCACTATGATAAACAGTCTTGTTATCATTATGAACTTGTTTAACATTCAATACACATGCATTAAGTTCAAAACAAGAAGGGTATAGCCTTATAAAAAAAAAAAAATGTGAATATCGCGGTTGCTGCGGTTACGTGCAATCCTTTGCGGTTGACTTGTCAGAAGCGCGGTACTACAAAATTGCGGTTACCGCGACAGCCCTACTAGAAAGTCGTGTTTTTTTAAGTTTAGTTACAAGATGTTCACACATTGGCAATAAAAAAGCTAATAATACATAAAAATTCTTATAGCCTTCAATCAAAAGGATCACTCAATGCTTTATTTACGTTTTCAAACAGCTGAGATGTTTATAAACAGTGGTGATATTATATCACCTTGTAAACTACCAATAAGAAATATCAAGAACAATTTTCTTTCTTCTGAAATTTCCGATGAAGCTTTAAAAAATGTTATAGTACAATTGGACAAGGGCAGGGAAGTACAGGACAATGTCGATTGTTGTTATGAACTTTTCTGTGGGGTCTTGTATGGGGAAATGAGACAATATGAGTTAAAATTGCATGAAAAACGGGCCCACAAAAAATTGTATCGAATTAATCAACCGTTTTGGAATAATGAATTGTATAATATTTGGTTAAATCTCCGTGTGGCAGAGAAAAGATATTTAAAATGCAAGGAGCCTGTTTTAAGGAAGAACTTGCATGATATGTTTAAAACCTGTCAATATGATTTTGATAAAAAACTTAGGATGTATAAAAGGCGTTATAGGAGAGGTAAAGCTTTTGAGTTAAAGATTCTTCAAAATACTAATCCACGGCATTTTTGGAAAGAAATAAACAAGCTTGGCCCAAAGAGAAATAAATTAATTCCACTTGAAGTAGTCATGGAAAATGGAAGGGCAGTTTATGAGATAGATAAAATATTGGACAGATGGGAGAAAGATTATAGAGATCTGTACACTTGTTCTGGCTCTCATCAGTTCAATGACGCATTTCTAGCTGAGATATGTAAATTAAAGAATGTAATTGAAGTTGGATCTGTTATGTTGGCTACACCCC